AACATCAAATTGTCATTACTCCAAAATCACTTGAGACAGCATTTGCGTCATTTTTGACAAAATTCAGTAAGTTCAATTTCATCTCTTGAATTACTTTTTATATTTCATTCTCTTATTTATACTTTGACATTTCTTGACAAACACTCTGAACAAATGACAATATACCTACATAAACCTGTCTTCTCACGTGAATAACTATACGCTGTAATATCAAGGGCGGAGAATAGGCTTAGGTTAAAGATATTAATTGACAACAGTGATGTTTTAAAACGTTTAAAACCAACTTATATCAAAAATGTTGTCCATAAAAAAGTATTCGAATGTTTGAAGTATGGTTATTGTTAAACTAAAGTATTTATATATGATCAATTATTTTATTAATTGATGATTCACATTGCTAAAAATTTGCAAAGAAAATTTCTGATTTTCTCCTTTCGAGTTGCCTTTGGATTTTAAGAAAGTTTTATAAGGAAAAAATATTGAAATACTACTAAATTGAATTTATGAAGGAGTTTGAGAGATTATTTATTTATTTATTTATTTATAAGTTTTTCTAATGCCACATGTTATACAATAATTTATCAAAAATATAATACAATATATATTGTATTTATAATTATTTATTAGCGTAAAATATTAAATAGTTAAAAAAACATAAATTATAAAAATACAATTGAACTACAACTTAAATTCTAATTATTTTTATATTGGATGAAAATATACAATAAAATATAATCCATCTCTTTTTAGAACTTCTGTTATCTATCCCAAAATTTGAACTTGACAATTGGGACATCCAAGCCTTCACAAGCTATTGTTGTTTCAAAGGAGACAATAAATTTTCTCCGAACAGGATATTGTAGGTAAAAATCTACTTTTAATCCTTTACCTTAATAAATTTGTAAGTTTTAGTCCTTCACCTTGTATTATGATACTTTTAACCTTTTACCTTAATAAGTTTATAGGTTTTAACCCCTCATCTTATACTATAACAATTTTAGCCCTCACTTATACGAATTGAAGAAAATAACCCTTATTTAACTTCCTGTTATAACATTCTGTTAGTTCTGTTAATTGACTGTTAGCATTCGTAAGCATTTCGTTATAGAAAATATGAAATTTAAATTTAATTTTATTTGTTAGTTCCGTTAATGGAATGTTAACAAAATGCTAACAGTCAATTAATAGAGTTAACAGTCAACTAACAAAACTAATATAACATTATAACCTGACCTTAAGTGAGGGTTATTTTCTTTAATTCGTATAGGTAAATAGTTAAAAGTGTCATAATATAAGGTGAGAGGTCAAAACCTACAAACTTATTAAGGTAAAAGGTTAAAAGTGTCATAATATAATGTGAGGAGTTAAAACTTACAAACTTATTAGGCTTAATTCAAAAATTAGTCTATAAACTATCAACTTGATTTCATTTTAGTCTAGAAAGTATGTTTTATTTCTAAGTGGTCAATAAACTTTGGAAAATATTTCAGAATGGTCTACCGTACAAGATTGTCGTTAGTTTTAATGGAAGAATCAACTTTAAATTAAAATAGACCAGTCCTCTAAGTTTCAAAAAAGTGACACTATAATCTCAATAAAATATAATGAATCAAGGAATACTCTATAGAGATAGATTAGTTAGAATTTGTGATAAAATTGAACAACTAGCTCAATTCAAAGAGAGAAACCTAGCAAACTTAGAAAGAGAAGCTCTAGAAGTAAGTATTGAAAGTACAATGAGAGTTAGAACTCTTAATTACAAAATAAGAAGAAAAAGAGAAAGAATAGATACATTAGAAATATTATTAATACACTTCTATCAGCATGAACAATGAACAAATAGATCAAATTAACATGTATTTAATTAATACAATAGGAAAAAGTATAATAGATATAGAAGATACAATTATCATAGATAATATTCTAAAAATAAAAACAATTAATGAAAATACCCTAAGAAGAATTGAAGAAATGGGAAAATCCCTTTCTCAAGAATTTGATTCTATTAAAGAAAGAATAAATAATGTCAAAAACTCTAGAAATTTGAAAGAAATAAAAAAAGAAATAAGGACTATTAAAAACTCAAAGACTCTAATGTCTAGAATAAAAGAGATAGAAATCAAAATAGAAGAAATTTTCAAGATATTAAAAGCAATTGCTGAAAAATTTGCAATAAAAGCTTAAAAATGTATAACAGAATAATTCCACAACTAGAAAGTGATATAGATAAAAATTTTTATAAGATCCAAACACAACTCAATGATCTACAAGATACTATAATATCAATTTGTAGTAGGTGAAATATTGTAGATAGAAATGAAGGATTTAAAATAATCCCGAAATTTTTCATGGAAAGACCTAAATCAAAAGGTATAACACTTTTCATGTTAAAAACCCAAGAAAAAATGTTGAAAGAACTTGAACAAAAATTCTTAGAAGAAGAAAATGTTGAAGAACTAGATAATCTGTGCAGACAGATTACTATAACTACTAAACAATTAGAAAATATGAAAATGAATACCCAAAAGGAGGAAGTAAAAGAGGAAAGTGAAGAAGAAAAGGATGAGACACACGCTAATATAACCCCAACAAAATTTCCAGTGCCACCTGGACTAGAATCCAACATATGCTAAAGCTATAGAAAAAATAGAAATCTAACACATGAAGTGATATATGATAAAAAGAGTAAAAGATTTGGGAATCAATCTAAACTTGAAACACCAGTAAGAATCAAAGAACAGATAATTAGTACTAATGGTATTTGGCTAGATCTAGATTGTGTTATCGACCTAGAGAAGGTCATTAGTGACTAGGCCTAAACAACTTCGATAGTTGTAGCAAACAAAAATTGGAATGCCTTACAAACAGTTAGATTTATTGAAGTCACCTTTAAAGGGATAGTTCACGACTAGTTTGCTGGTCTAAATGAAGAAGATAGTAATGTTATTATAAGTGGAAATCCTGCTTCAGAAGAAGTTAATGAAAACGAAGCAATTCAAGACATAATAAATAGGTTTGAATTAGTTATTAAGAGAGAATTCTTAGGAGAAAATTGGGAAGAAAATCAAGGAAAAGATGAGGCTAGAATTGGAAGAATAGCAGTGTGGAATTTGAAAAATTTAGAATTATGTAATCTCTGTGAATTAGATCAATACATTTGTTTGTTTCAGAAATACTATTATAAAGCTTCAAATCATGGAATGACTAAAGGCCTCATGGAATTGTTTTTTGGAAAATTCCTAATCCTTGGGGAATAAAATTGGTAGAAACCTATAGAATATATGTAGAAGATAAGAAAGATACTTTAGGGTTAAGGATTTGGTTCGCTAAAACCAAAATTAATGAATGGTGCCTGGAAACCTATAGCCAAAACAAACTAAGAAAAAGTATGAAAAAGGGACTATGTTGTCATAAGAATAGTGATCCAATCAAGTTAGGATGTAGTTACACCAACTACAACAAGAGAAATAAGAAATTTAGAATTAAAAGAAGTAATAAACAAAGGTTTAGTAAAAACAAATTTTCTAGAAAAAAAAGAGGTATTTTAAGAAAACCAAAACATCAAAAAAGTATAAAAAGAATCCCAAAAAATGCACATGCTGGTTGCGTAAAGAAGAAGGGCATTATGCATATGAATGTCTTAAAAGATACAAAAGAGAAAGTACTAAAAACCTAAAAATTTATGAAGAACAACTAAGTAAAATAGATGCTAGCTCTATAAGTAGAGAAGAAAGTATATATGAAGTGTAAAGTTTATATACCTCTAGTAGTGATGAATCAGAATATTGAAGAAGGAGAAGCTTATTCTGAAGAATATGAAGGACATGGAGAATACAATCAAATAATTGTATTCGATAAAAGTAAATATAAAAGAATTAGATAAAAGAGAATGAACCTTGCTTTAGAAAAAGGATTCAAACCAAATTCCTTTATAAGTAATCCATTTAAGAGAAAAGATATAGTTTATTACGGAATATCCACTAAAGAATATAGCATTCCTATCAAGAATACAACGGAAATAATAAATATACCTTTGATTATCAATGCAGAAATAGAGA